CTAATTGCCGGGAACGGATACCCATTTCGCTCGCTCCTATCTGTTTTCGTGTGTTGTCGTCAGCAAAAGGTTGATTTTATTAACCGGGCTTAATTGCTTCATAAAAGCTTAGTGCTTTATATTTTTCAACAGTCCGCAGGAATGTCCCAGAGGAGGCGGAAAAACGCCCAGTTGACCTAGTTTTTGTCTCAGTCTATATTTCTTTTACCTTTCTGCTCCTTAGAAAATTTTCCCAGCCGCAAAGGAACGAAGGCAAGTGACACTTGAGCAGTGAGCATTTCTTAATTTTACATAGTCTTCTTTTGGGGGCCGCAAAAGGATTATGGGCGTGGCAAAGTGGAGAGCCATTGAGCCTCTTCGGCACGTAATACCGCAACTGGGGATCAGGTGGACAGCAGGTCCTCGAGTGGCATGCCACGCACGTAGCCTGCGAAGTGGCAGGGTTAGGGTTTCCACTCCTCCTTCGCCTGCTCGTCCTGTTATTGTTATGCTGGCTGAATGTTTTTCCCTGGCCCAACAATCTGCTCCTGATGGTCAAAGGATAATGCGTCCGGCATGTTAAGCAATTGAGCCTTTTGTGCGGCGCAAACATTGATTAGCTCTCTACCAATTCAATTGTAATCAGGCCGATAAATGGGGTGAATAATTTAGACGGGTCCTCACTTAAATGCAATTCGTCCGCCTTATAATAACATCTACTTTGCATATCAGAGATAGTTGATAAAGTTGATAATAAAGTTGAATATTTTATGTTTCCCAATCCAAACACCGATAAATATGCTTTTTTAGCAAGGATAAAAGGATAAAAGCTCCTCCTCGGGGGCATCTAATTCAGGTGACTAAACATTTTCCATTCAAGAAACTTTTTTACGCCACACAACTCAATGAAATCCTTTTATGCATTCTCCCCCCCTGAAAAGATTCAAAATATTCCGCCGGTGGACTCAATTGTAGCTCGAAAATAAAGCGCTCGTCATGGGGCGGGCAAAGTTGGCTACGCTTTCAGCTGATTAAGAACAAATTTGATATAAATAAGTGGTGAAAACAACTCGGCACAATTTAACGCTTTGTTGCGGTCAAGTAACTTTAGAATTCCAGTGAGTGAGCAGAGCAGCAGGGCCAACCTACGAAAAATCAGCCAACAGCAAATGAAAACAAGTGCAGAGTAATGAAAGAAAAAGCATGAAGACGCGTCGACATGAAAGGGAATTCTTCAGCATTCAGCATTCAGCGTTCAGCGTGTTTTTTTAAGCCGATTTGATTCTGCGGTGAGAGGAACAACAACCACAAAATGCTATAACAATTTTCAAGCTAATTTTTTTGGCCTTTCCGTTCCGCACCAATGGCATTTTGATTAACTCGATGATGAGGCAGTCGAAGGAGAGGATAATGACCTTGGATGCCATCTGCCGGTCATCCTCATTCCAATTTCCCCCTAGGTGCCAACTACGATCTCCTGGCTGCGGTTAGATGGCCAACTTAATAAGCAAGATATCCTCCAGCTGAAGGTGGCTGAGAAAGCGGATTCCGGCTCACTGCGCTTTTGGCCAAGCTCCAAGCCAAGTTAATGCCAATATTTTACTCAACTTGGCGGGCCTTTCCTGCCAGCGAAAGCCACTTAGGATTAGAGCTACACTTTTCAGCTGATTACTATGACGAGTGACTTAATACTCTGAAAGGAAAGTGGAGGCGGGATTTAGAGCGATTAAATTGGAATATTTACTTGGAAAACTATATTTTATTAAATTCAATTAAATTAAATTCCTGCCTTTTTGTGTTACCGAATTGCTGTTAAATTTTCCATCTGAACCAAAGCTCTAACCCGAATTTCGTAACCGCCTTCATCTTTGACAGCTCATTAAAGCCAACTGCTATTACTTGGCGCTCACATGCAGGCAACTTTCACAACGCACTCCGGGTGGCAAGTGAATCGGTCAAAATCGATCGTGCCACCAATAACTGACCGATGGCCTGATTGATTGATTGATCGATCGAAGGCACGCGCTGTAATTGGCGACGTGTTTGCCCCGCTGAGATATACACGTTTTTTCGGGCTATTTATTTATATCTACTCTAATTTTTATTCGCCTTTCGACCACATAAACTTCCGCTGTTAGACGAACAAACTTGGCTTTTAATGAGCTGGCATTTGAATTTTTAGTTCGGGAACGAAGCGCTTGATTTATGCAGCGAACCCGCATTGAAATGAATATCGAATTGTGTGTGACTCTATTCCGATTCAGTTGTTTCAGTCGCGAACCGTGAAAAATCTAGCAAACGCAACGAACTGTGATGGGATCTCTGCTGATCTCATTTATTCCGGGTGTCCGACAAATAAATTCTAGTTAACTGCTGCATTGAGAGCTCGGAGCTTGGGAACTTGGCCAAAATGGCAACGTGTGTTGGCCCGTTCACCTTGGGGAGCCATTTAAAGCCCCTCAGGATCTGATTATTTACGGCTTCCCAGCTATGTATATACAATTCACTTACAATTCACTCGTATACTGCATATTTTTGCAGACCTTCAAAGGTTATGCAAATCAAGATGACATTCCCTGCTTTCAAAGCGCCTGAAAAGCGGCACGTGCATATGAAAAATGTCATCGGTAAGTTGAATACGAGAATTAGTCCATCTTGGAAAAAGGGAAATTAAGTCGTCTACCTGGGGACTCGCCTTCGAGGAAACGTGCAAGGTCAGCGGGGTGGCTCGAGCAACATGCAGAATCTTTAGGCAGATAAAGAGCCATGAGAAATAGTCGAGCACGAGCCAACACGGAAACAAATAAAAATCAACAGGATTAAATATGCAGCTGTACGTGGGTCCCCGCCCTTTTCCATGCTCCCTGCCCGGGTTTTAGCCTTGTGCCCTGCCTTGAATGCGGAGTCTGCGGCCAATCTGTTACATTTTGTCAGGGCTTCCATGCAGCCCCAGTCCCAGTCTCATTTTCCGTCTCAGGCCCATTTTTAGCCCCCTCCCTCTTCCTTCTGGCCAGCCCACCTCCCCACCCCCCAGCTCGAGTGTCCTTCGCACGTTTTACCTTCAGCTGGGACACTGGGCCGTAAATGCGACTGCCTCGGCTGTTTTTACACTCTCAGCCGGGCTCTGAAGTGGATTCAACAAGTCTGAGTGGGCTAGCTGGGGGCTCGACTAGCAGGTACCTCGTAGGTTATAAATAAGTTAAATATAAAATTAAACTTATTCATTTAAAAAAAAAAAGAATGTAATAAAAAATGGAAATAAATTAATTAAAGATGACAAAGACTGAAATAATTTATATTTAATTTGTGTTAAACTTAAATCATTTTTTAAAAATTTTATTGAAAACAGAAAAACAACTAGCATTTTATTAAAAACAGAAACTATTTTAGAAAAGTTTTTATTTTATATATTTGTAATTTAGAAAATTATTACAATTTTAAATAGCTTTAAATATAAAAACCTATATTTTATAAGCCACAAAACTTGAAATAAATAAATCTTCTGCAGTTGTTACATTATTTAAACCCACAATATGATCCTGTCCAAACTTCCCATATTTATTGCATAGAACAGCAAGAGCTTTTATGTTTTCCCGCGGACATTTCCCTCTCAGGCGGATTTAAAAATTTATTTCCCACGTTTGTCGGAAACGGATGGCGGGAGTTTTGCGCCACCAGACACCAAATGAGTTGGCACGGCCTCCGTGTCATTTTCACTCTAAGCAAAGGAGATTGGGTGTAAGGAGCTCGTTTTGCTCCGGGACCCAATGAAAAATTTAAACTTTTACAATTAAAGCGAATGGTGAACGGCGAATGGGAACTTCGGGCAGCTGCAACATGTGGCGCATACTTTTCGTCCTTCGGCTCCCCCGGATTTTCGATTGAAGCTCTTCCTGTGCATTAATTCAATTTCAGCCACATGCTACATTTCAAAATCGAAAATAGAACCGTTTGCTAGCTGCTCGACTTGCATAATTCAAACGTTTTCCACATCGCTCTGTGTTTTTACCCCACGTTTTGCTAACCAAATTGAAACCATCGTTCACCACGTGGCAAGGTTAAAGGACCAGGCTCCCCGAAAACGTAACAGTTTTGCACTCTGCTACATAAGTGAATTATCCGTTCTGCGCTTTCTTCTTGCGTACCACATGACGTATGAGTGATAAAAAGCGGGAGAAGGGGAAGTAAATTGCATTTGCTGAATGCATAGCTTGGGGAAATTGAGAATTTTCCGACAGAGTTAATTAAACGAGTCCGTTGTAGCAGTCATGTTAGCAATAATAATAACAAATTGAACAAAGCAAGGGGGAATTTTCCAAGATTTTACCTTAATTAATTAAATCAATGTTGGCTTAGTTGTTCTTTGATTAAATACCTTTAAGGATATACCTGTCAAGCCAATCAACTGAGGCATCCTTCAGTGGCTATTGAAAATTTGCCAATCAGATTTCCTGGCCATCACTTGGATGCACAATACTTCGGCAATTATCAGGACAACCGAAGCGAATGATGATGAGAACAATCCCTGTGTCGAAAATGCCATTGTTTAGTTTCCATTTGTCCTATTACGACAAGGACATTGCTCAATCTTCGGCAAAAGACAACAGAGAGGCCACAATTTAATGACATTTTACAAAGATGACAATGCAATGATATGAAGCTCCCTTTTGAATTCGTATCAACCCAAAATCCGTGTATGCTGAGCAGTAATTGTTTTAAATTCTTTTGGGGGCCCCGAGGGTGTTTTATGCTGTGGGCGCGGTCACGGGCAATTTAACACCTTTTCTGCGCATTAAATTAACGGCAAACCAAACCGCAGCGCCACCATTTCGAATATCAATCATACGGACCGTTGGCCAAGTGCAAAAATCGTTCAACATGGCTGAACTCTGACCTGCCCGTGGATAATTCCCGGTCTTACTTCTACCCCAAACCAATTTCCGACCCTGATGCTGACAGCATAATTTACAGTTTTTCATCGGATTAATCGGAAAATGTGCAAAATGCTCGCGGCTACTTACAATTTCAATTTACTTTCGGTTAGTCCTGGCCAAGGAAGCGGCTCCACGAGAGGGTCCTGCAAGCAGACGAAGCGGAATTTACATAAATTTAATAAAAACGAATTAAATTGTGTCAAAACCCGGCGCTGCGGGCTGATGGAAAACGGGCAAAGGCATCATCGTCAAAGGCATTGTGAAAAGTGTATAATGAAAATAATGTGGGATAAAAATACATGCACTGAAATCGGGCGACCGTGAAATGTCCCAAATGATTTCGAGTGCGGGGGAAGAGCGTTTAAATAGTTGGCGAAAAATTAAATCGAATAAGTTTCAGCAAAGGGGAAGTTTCCTCAACTGCAGTGTTCCACCGTCAATTGCAGTCGCTCTTATTTCCGGAAAAAAAAAAAACAGGAGCTTAGCTTCAGCGGAAACCGGATTGTGGGCGAGTCACAAATATTAGTTATGCTTGCGGTTGGCCAGGAAACGCACCTTTTTAGCCAAGTCGCCACAAAGGAGCGAGCTCTCTTGCCATAAATCACAAAACCCACGCTGCCCCCCAGGACTTTTCCATGGCTTTCGGCATTGTTGTGACAGCTGGTCCTTCCTTACCGCAGTGGCAGCAGCAGCTCGTCCTTGCAACACCTTCCCTGTCCCTTGATCCTGGCTAAAATCCAGCCATGCAAATTATGTTTAGTCTTTTGTGTGTGAGTGCATTGGAGCCCAGCATTCCGACCATTTGGCTTGATTATTTTATTTATATTGTTCTTTCGGGCCTCGCTTTAATATTCACTGTAACCCAAAAAGGATGCGGTTTCGCCTAAGCGTATATAAGGCTGACTTGCAAATTATTTCCAGCACTCTGTTGATTTAATCTGAATATTTTCCCAGACTGGCATAACAAAAGCCGCTTTTAGTCTTGAACTCGGCTAAAATGCCTGAAGGCTTGCAAAAGGAGCAACGAGCTAGTGGCGGCAGGATGCTATGATTTATGCCAGTCGCCTCCAGAGAGAAGAGTTAAGCTGAGAAAAGACTGGGATTTAAAGGGACGAAAGACCTCGGGGCGTCGGTTTACACGGGCCAAATATTGTCATGACAACAAATGAATGTCAATAAAGCCAATTGTGCGGTCTAATCATATTTGAAACAGGATACGTAAGTGTAACAAACTAAACAATCAGGATGCAGTCTTCTGCCCCTCAGCCCTTTTGGTTATTCAATCCTCCGTCGCCTTTCGACTGACAAATTGCACAACATTTCGGCGCCTCAAGTGTTTTTCTTTTGGGATGGGTGGGGGAATTGGCCAAAGCAATTTCGTTAGCAACTTGTCTTCTTCGAGGGATTCGACGAGGACTTGGCCAAAGTTTTGTGTCTTTTGTTGATTCGACTTGCGGGACAAGTTTTTGTTATACTCTGGGCCAAAGCAATCGGGATGCAAATGCAATGGGGGCGGAGGGGGAGGTATTTGAAAGGACGAGGGACGTGATAAATAACCGAGAACAAAAAGCCACCGAACTCGTAAGAGTGCCATCGACCGAATGCACACTTCATGGTGCAACACTATTCTTTTTTCAATTTTAGCTTTTTCTTCTCTCAGATTTTCAATCCGTTAAAAAGGGGTAGCAAAATATCCCGACTGCAAGGACATTTCGAATGATATAGACTGAGCGAGTAAAAGTCAATGATTTCTAGATATTTTTCAATTTTTAAATATTTATTTATCTGTTTCAGAGCTCAGTAAATAAATCATTGATTGTGGAGGGTTTAAAGCCATTTAAAAATTTCCGGAGATTTTTCATTGCAAGGTATCTTGTATTCCAATGTATTCCCTAGATCCTTTCACTTTTTCTCTACTTCCCTTCGAGGCGAAACAAAAGACAAGCCAGCAAGGACAATGCCAGCCTGCGGGCTTTTGAGGGTTAACACTGATGAAGCGAGGCTGTTGCATTGATGCATTGAGTAAGAAGGCATTGGGCGTGGGAGGTGGTCGGTTGAATGGCAAGGTCGTTCTAGATGCCCCACAAAAACCTAAAAAGCGAAAGTAAAACAAAGTAATGGAAATATACACCAACTGCATAATAAAATGGCGAATGTCTAGAACAAATAATATAAGACTTCTAACATGTTTTTCTTTCGTATTTATTCTTAAATTTAAGGCAAATAAAACAATCCCCCACTCTAAGTTAAGAGGGAAAAGTTTGCGAGACAAACTTTTCCAGACATTCGAAGAAAAAGTCTATTACAATGCCTAAACGATCTTATTTATCGTTGGAATACATTTTTTTGAAAGTTTCTGCCCAGGCGCAACACAATTCTCAGAAGCAAATAATAAAAGAAAATATTTGTTTTTCCTCTCCTTATTCTGGGAAATAAAATGAATGTGCCCATTAGGTTGTGCAAACAAACAGGTAGAGAAAAAAAAATGCTCAACTACCTTTTGGAAGGTATGTGTAACAATTTTGTCTGCCTGTCGTGTGAATTGAGATGGCAAACAGTGGCCACTATTGTTCGCATGAATTATGCACTCGTCATTCTCATGGTATAGATTCCAGTGCTCCCTTCTTCTCGGTGTTTGCCAATGTTTTTTTTTTGCCCTGCTGTGTGAACTGTGGATGCTTACTTGATGCTTAAAATAAAGAAAAACTTGTGGGTACTTATTTTTTGGAGACTTACTAAAGCTACATCCTATTTTAAATATTTTCTAACCACATTTTTTAAAAAACTTGACTCTATTAAATCTAAAAAGCTAACAGTTACTTTTTTCATTAACTTTTTAGCTACAACTAAAATTTTTTCAGCCATAAATTGTTGGAAAATGTATAAACCATGATAAAAAAGACAGCATTTTTCTATTACCTTTTTTTAGGAATACCATCAGCTATTTTCTGTCATTATATGCATAGTTTAAAAGTTACAAAGTTTCGTTATCACACTTTTTCCCATGAATAAAATGTTATAAAGGCTAAAACTTTTCTTTGACGCCACATTTTTAATTTATTTCGTGAGCGAGAGTTTTTAGTGTATTTTCATGGAATATTTTATACATATTTTTGGTAATGACACTACACTTTCTCATCTTGGGCCAATTAAAGCGCCTCGGACTCTGGTCATCATCATATTCATTAGGCGACTGTTCGGCCATTTCACGGTGTGCCCGGCAGGACTCCCCGCAAGACCTATTAACATGCCTGGCCAACAAGCTCCACTTATAACTACTCGCAAAGAGGAAAAAAGGAGGAGGAGTGCGAAGGGGAACAGGAATTCCTGTGTAGCAATCAGCAGATTGTGTGACAGTCTGCCGTTCATTTCCCTATTTATTCAACAAGTTCCGGAGTTCCGGAGGCGGAGGCCCGAAACTAAGGACAGGATTCGTTGTGACAGGCCAAGGACTCCGGACGGGAGTCCTGCGGCACTTTTATGCGCTTATAATCACATATTTCAGCTCTCTCGGCCTTTTTCTCTCTGCGGGCATCGATTTGTTTGGCATTTGTAGGAATGCCGCCTCAAGGATACGCCATGTGACTTGTGATCCCTTATTTTAGTGGCATTTATTTTGTCACACGTTATTCACGAGGACGAGGACGAGTCTGTGTGCGGCTAGCGGAGGCCCCATAAAAGTCCTGTGAGCCCCTAAGTGCGTGTTTATTTGCTAAGGCAGCGGGTCCTGTGCTTTTTGGGTCTGGCTTAAAGGTATTTGCCGCTGCGGCACGTTATCGAAGGCTTGCAGGCCCTGGAATCCCCGGCATCCTTGTAATTGGGGCAAGGGTTTTTCGGGCACCGTGTGTGTGTATGACAAACTCATTTCATATTTATTAAATTTGCTGCGCTCGGGTTTTATTTTCATTTGGCACGTACCGAAAGTAAAATAAACATCGTGGCAAGTGTTGCTCCTGTTTTCCTTTTGTATTATTATTTTTTGATATACTTACAGGTTGATATACGAATTTGTACCTCAGCATTGTTTTAATTTCGGTGAAATTTCATATATTTTATTGTCGGAGGGGAAATGGAATTTTTAGCGCCAAATATTTTTTGGCATGTTTTGAAACTTTACGGCGAGGAGATTCCCCAGGCCAACTTCTGTTTCTTTCCGCCTTTTGTGGCTTAAACTACATGAATATGTAAAGTGCGGCTATAACTTTGGGCCACGCCCACCCCTTCGCCCACCGCAGACGAAACTATGTAATTAAAAAGTTTTGCAAAGAGATTGCGAAGCCAAAAAATGAGAGAGGGATTTCCCTCTTGTTTGCATATTTCCTCGTCAGCCAGAAAATAATAATTAAAAACAAACCAACAGAGCGCCGGGCAGCAATAACGACTGTTATTAAACCAATTTATTGTTGGCTAGCATTGGTTTATTTCCATCCCAGGGGGTTTTGGCCAGCGAGCCTGTTAATTTGATTCCATCTACCCATATATAAAATCTATTCGAGCACCTAAATAGTTGGCAAAATGAATGTGAATTGTTTGGGCGAATTGCTAAATGGGCCAATGAGTGGTGGCTAACTGAGGGAATTAGTTGCAAAAATAACCTGGTATTTGCCAGGTTCCCAGGCAGATCAATTCGCAATCACGGCTCAGAGGTTCTTGTCTCGGCTTTTGACTTGTTTTTTTAAGTTTTCTTGGCCCGCTGTGAACTTTGCGGCCAGTTTATTGTTGTTTTGTTGTGCGGGGCAGCTGCTTTGGCTTATTATTTTCGTTGTTTTGCGGTCAGTTCATTCAACTCACAATTGCTTATTTTCTTTCCTTTTTTAAGGGGGCTAGATCTGGCTTACAAAAGAAGAATTTTCGGGAAATTTTTGTAAACCTATTGTCCGTTATGCAATATTTATATTTACTTACTAAAGCTGTTTCATTTTATTGCGTATCAACATTGTAGCCGTCATAAATCACAACTTTTGTCACATTTCCGCTATATTTTGCCATAAAGAATATTTCTGGTAAATGTGTCAACAGAGTGTACGAAATATTTGCATTGAAATAAACAAAACTGAAGCTTAGGCTTCGGGCCAAACCAGTGGTACGCATCCAACCAGAACCCAAAAACCGATTCCAAACCAGAAGCAGCAGCAGAACGAGAATGAG